GATTTTCTTTTTTTTTTTTTTTACTATCATTTGTATAATAGAAATTACCATTCTAGTAAAAAAAAAAAAAAAAACTGTTGTTTTCCTCAGTGTACTGTTATTTTGCGGCACGATAAAAACCAACGGTCGGGTGGTTTCGTTTTAAAAATACTTGAATTTACGACACGTATATTGGGGGGAAAAAAAAATCAATCACAGCTAGATTAAATGAATCAACAAGACACACTCGAATGAATGTTACTTTGAGGAGAGGTGGAAATCAATGTACAAGCGCATGATATTCACACCAATTAAGTTTGACGCAAGCCACAACACACGGGCGCGGGAGATAATGTTTTTCTGCATTCGCGTCGCTTGGCTCGGCAATCAATACGCGCTGGCTTGAAAATCACACGAGCGACTTGTGCATCGTGCACGTATATACATCCTCCTATAAATACACACGGACGATCGATCGATCGCCGACCGCGCGCTTGACATCGTCGCGGCAAAGTAAACACAATTAAAACTTTGGAGCTTCCTTTCCACCCATACGATATGTACATACCTGTCGCAATGATCGACTAAGGTGGAGGTACCATTTTTCAAGTGCAACGAAACGCGCGGATATACATGTTTTATGGGATCATCGCCAGCAAGAGGGAAAAACGGAGGCGAAAGCTGATGACTTACCGGATGGCGTTTTATCTCCTGCCGACAGTTTCGAGAAGGCGAGCAAAGCGTCCGGAAAATTTGGTGGGGTAGCCGGTGTGTTGCACGGCGTTATCTGTAACAGAAAGCATTTTTTTTTTTCTCTCAATATCGCACCACAAATCGTTTCGTAAACATATAATACACCCACTGCGATGAAAATAACATCATTTTTTTTTTTTTTTTTTTCTTTTTCCCCACTTTTTATTCATACAATTCGATGATCGATCCAATGAGGAGTCGAAGTGTCAATGGATTGTGTGTACAAGGCAAGACATTCTTGTGAAAAAAATTGAAATCCAGTTAGGTGAGATATTAAAATAAAATAAAAGTACATAGAGAGCCGAGGCTTTACCGTCAGTCAGTGATAACCCACGCATCGTGCTAATTGTTATGTATACTTAGGATCAAAGAAAAATCGCCTTTTTGATTGTCGATTACTAGCCGAGCAAATGTCACTCGATGCCCCGATTCGAGAGTACATATTAATATATAGAGCAATAACAGTAAGTATAGTGAAAGGCTATAATATACTATACGCGTTTGCATGTTACACATTAAATAAATAATTATGTTATATGTGAGACGCGACTGTTACTGTATATGCATCGAGTACAATTGTAACCGAGGGAACGACGATTTCTATTAATTGTGCAAACCTCATTATATACTCATCGAAGAAAATACCTATATGCTTATTGAACCCTTGTCGAATGATCAAGCGTAAGGTTGTATACACGCGACGACAGCCGGCAAGAGTCCAAGCCCACACGCGGAAACTCTGCACCACCATTCATGGTTTTTTTTTTTTACTTCTATAAATATATACACACTGGCTAACTTGGTTTTACATTTCCTACATACGAGAAGATTGTATGTTTTGCGTTTTGTCAAAAGAAGCAAGAGCACGTTTGAATAAATAATGAAGTTGTTTCAACAGTGGAAAAAGGGAAGGGCCTTCATTGTTTGATGGCTTTGTCGAGTAAAATGCTTCGAACTCCTGACTTTTTCAAGGTCGGTTCCTCTACACCCCCGCCCCCCTTGTGTAACCTTAGCAACCCTTCTTACCCACTCTTCTTCATACATAATATTATGTTGTGGTGTTGATGTGCGCGTATCAAACATTGTTATACGAATTGCGCGAATGTAATGGCCATCCACGCGAAGCGCTCAATCCTTCCGAGTAGACCATATTAATTTATGATGTATCATCGGTAGAGGTGGTGTATACCTATTTTTGTTACGAGAGAGAGAGCGATGACACTGATAACACGAGGCGTGCGCGTGTAAACAAACGATAATGCGCAAAAACGACTCCGAGAGAGAGAGAGAGAGAGAGAGAGAGTCGTGGAAAAATGTTAAGTGTATAGATGGGAAAAAAAAAAGGTTAAACGAGAGAGAGAAGCAAGGAAAGCCGGAGAAACCGGAATGTACACACATACATATACATAAATGTACGGGTGTTGCGTATATACATACATACAAACGTATACCCACATATATATATCTACACAGTACACCACAGAAAAAGAGAGAGACACCAGGAGAAGGAAAAGGAGGAGGAGGAGGGAAGGAGTCCGAGTGTCTGCTGTTACTGCGTATATGTATACATACGTATCGGAGATAGAGAGAGGTCGTTCAACCACAGCCCTCCTGACGTCACCGTGTGTTTTGTACACACACGCGCGCGCACATATATATATATATATATATATATATATATATATATATATATATATATTTACATAACACGTATGACTTTTACACGAGATACACCTACCTCGCATGATTATGTATATATTATATATATATATATACACACTGCGGCATCAGGCAACGGCGGGGAGTGCATGCATATATATTATTATAGGGACCATTCAAGCAGAGAGACAACAAGAATGCCATAAAACCTATTATTACCTGTCGCGCTTTTTACGTGTATAACACGCGAATGATAAAATTTATTAATTTTTTTTTCCTCCCCTTCCCCAATCCCCAAGGCACTACGCGTACACGCATTCAGCAAAATTACAAGCCTTTGCCGACTCGCACGAGATAACGAGACTTTCTGCCCTATACGATCTATGTACAATAACCCAATTGGTAAAAGTATATATATACTTTTCCAAGGTATTGACAAGTATACGTACTGTTTTTGTTTTTTTTTTTTTTCCTTTTTTTCACACCTTTTATTTTAGGTCCAACGTGGAAAGGAATGTACATGACGTTCACATTATACGTGAAAAAGGTACACGATAACGAATGAAAAACGTATAATAATAATACATCGACGCAACCGCGCAATACCCCGGCGCTTCGAAAGAGTTTAAGTATATCCCAACAAGATTGGGTTTTGCTTTTCGGGTCAGTAGAAACAGTCGTTTACGGCCGGACGATGACAGCGCCGAGATGGGTAAGCCGATAAGGGACTCGCTGTACCACACACACACACACACACACACACACACACACACACACACACACACACACACGTAGGTCTCAAACAAGTGGGAAAAAAAGTCCCAATCGTTCCGAAAGAGCGATGCTGTAATATACTTACTGAGTGTTACGCGCGTAAACGCCTCCCAATTACCGTACCTAATCCGAACGGAGGGGTGTGGGCGTTTAGAGTTTCACCGATGGACACGTATAGACAGAGTTTCGAGGCTGATTGAAATTTTCGAGATGATTTGACGCTGCTGTCGGCTCGGTGGATCGAGTGATTGATGCAATTTTTGTCATTGGGAGATAGAGCGAAATTGACACGGGATGCCGTTTGACTTAGTGCCATTTTTTAGGGCACAGAATATTGAAGAGAAAAAAATTGGTGCTGGTTTTCCGTTGGTCATTGGAAGCTCTCGGTTATGGAAATAAGCACTGCAGGCTATAGTGACGTTCAAGTTGACGCAAGAGAAAACTCGCGAGTGAAACCATACGATTCTAGATTGATTGGTGCTGGGTTCAAGGTCAGCAATTTTGGTTTTTGAATATATCTTGCTACTGTATATTTAAATTGTACAGAAGTGACATTTTGTTCTTGCACTGGGTTAGAGATAGATATTATAAGTAGAAATTTAAGATGGACATCTTTGGATGGATTTATCGATGTATCATCATGTATCGACCAGACAAATTACCATTACCAAATATATTGTGACAGCGGGGAAATGTTTATCTGGGATGCTTTTACGCGTGGTAATTTTGTGATCTTTAAATTGGATCTGTGCATGGTGGTATAATGGTGAGAAAGAATTGCACGTTGTTGTTGTTGTTGTTGTTTTTGTTGTTGTTTATTTCACTCTAGTTGATTCAAATGAACTGTGGAGACACAAGATGCACTACGACGATAAGATCTCAGAGTTTATCGGCCCAAGCCAACCATCACAACTTTTTATCAATAATTCTCGAACTCTATTTTTTTTCTCTTGCATACATAAATAATTTTTATCGTTTTAATTCACACCGTTTGCTCTGGACTATCCAAAGCTCCATTATTTTTTTTTCTTTTTCTGGTGATAAAATAAAACTGAAAAGAAAGCAAGGCCCACAGAAACATGTAATTTTTTATTAGGGCTCTTAACACGAATTGAATTGAATCCAAATCTCAAGTTGCTCCACCACAAATTGTTCATGTAAAACGTGACACGATGGACCTATTTATTCTTTGGATTTGTGTTTAACGGCCCCACAAACCCCTTTTACACGTTGTCTCTTTTGAAATTTTTCGATCTTGTACGTATGCGCTGACTACAACCGCGAAAGAAACGGAAATCAATATCGATAATTTTTCAATAGTGCTAATACCTCCTTTTCATTAACCGATATTTCATGCTCCGATTTTGAATGATCGACGATCAAAGGAAGAACAACTGTTTTACCCAATACATTTCAAAACACGAGCCTCATAAACCTTACAAACAAAATCATTCAGCAACATGATGGTAATGGTAACCAGAAGAATATTCTTACACGACAAGTACAACGCGGAATAATATTATATACATTTCATCTCGGATCCCTCGCCACCTATAATATACCCCACGATACAACTCAAGGAGTTTTTATTTACGATCAATACATGTGTACCTCTCCTGTATATCCAACACGCGCGTGGCACCCACACACGCTTCCTAATATACACTCGTACGATTTTTGGCACGTGGCTTTATCGGAATGCCGGGACCGACCGAGAATAGTAATGTACCTACACCACCTATATATATATAAGAAGCTTCGTCGCTGGCCCTTGCTCTTCTTCTCTCCTCTCTTTTCTTCCGTATATATACAACACACATCTATCATACGCGTCTACATATACATACGTGTGTGACACAAAAGGTACAAGTGTCCTAACGTGAGTGTGTGCGTGCGCGTGAGAGCGATATTTCTGGAGGTTCTCGCGGATTTCGACCTCCTCGGCAGCCTCTGTGTATAAATATGTATACGAGAGCACGCAAGAATACACCGCTCCCCGGAGGTTTTCTTTTTCTTTCTTCGATTTGTTTTTTCGGGAGGGTGGCGTGGGCGAGGCTGAGGCCATTTCTTTCGAAAGTCGAAAAGCCACTGGAATCGGACCGAGGGTTTACTTCTTGGGGGAGGGGGCGTGTATCGATTTGCCTATAATTGGGACGTTTTTTACAGTAACGCGCGTGTCCGTGTGTGTTATACCTATACCTACGCGGTTTTTCAGTGTTGGCGAGGTAAGAACATTTTAATCGCGGAGTAATACACGCGCGAAACTTTTTTCAACTTTGTCATTAGCATCGAGAAGTTTATCCATATGATATTCAATCTGATAACGCATAAAACGCATTTGTACGTACGTTTTCGTTTCTCATGGAAATTCATTTGTTTGCTCAAGTACCCTATACTGAATGTATAAGCAGGAGAGTTTTATCGGGTTGATGCAAGAAGGTGCCATCTCACGCAATATCGTACCTACAAGCAAGGAAGTGGTACATCTTGCAACATTATATAATGCGTGTGAAGTAATTTTTGTTTCCGAGGGGTCATTCACTCAGCGGTTGGCTTGCCGTTCGCGAGGTCAAGGATAAAATTATTCTATGGAAAAAAAGC